GCGGGGCGGGGTGCAGCCCAGTGGCTTTCCCGCAGCGACTCGAGCTGGGCCCGTGAAACGGAGACTTTTCCAAAACCTCCGCAGACCCCTAAGGCGGGAGAGGATCGTATTCGGCGCTCGCTGCGCGTCAGACAGGACGCAGAGCATCGCGCGTGGCTTACCGCATTTCATCTCCGCACAGCCCCCACTCACAGATGACGAAAAGAGTGGCGATCGCTCGGGGCTGCGTCGCTGGATTGCAGCTCGGGTCCGTCTGACTGCAAAGCCCGAGCTGCCCCGGTCTGCTTTGTGTGTGGATGCCCACGGGATGGGGCGTCTCCTCCACAGTTAGCGCTTCCTGTGGATTTTAAAGTCAAAACCTCTTCTGCCTGAAACTTCACTAGCCTAGCATAGTTCATCTTTTCTTTCTTTTTTTGAGACAGAGTCTCGAACTCCTGACCTTGAGCCATCCTCCCGCCCCGGCCTCCCGGAGTGCTAGGCTTACGGGCGTGGGCCACCGCGCCCGGCCCACCTAGCATAGTTTTAAAAATACTTGGGGAAGCACTTTGAGTGGCAGTCGATGCACGCGAAGGCCTTGGCAGCCGTCACTTGTGTCCTTACGGTAAGAAAAGGCTGGGCTGAGTGGAAATGAGGGTCTTTTCTTGGGCCTGTCAGAGAACTGAGTTTGCAGAACAAACTTCCATCCCGAAATCTGGAGAGAGGCAGTGGACCCAGACAGTCACAGGCCCGCAGCTGGTAGGGACACTTCAGCGGTAGCTTTGATGACCCGCTGGAGGCCGAGTGTGGACAAGCATAGGAGTTAGAACTCCCTCTGCAACACGCACGCTTCCCTGGGTTTTAACCCACTTGGTTCCCCGGGGCGAAGGGCTTTGTATACGCGGGGTCCCGCTGTGTTGCCCAGTCTGGTCTGGCCTCGAGCACGCCCGCCTCGCCCTCCCCAAGTGCTGTGATTCCAGGCACGAAACCACCTGGTTTAAACAGAAACCCTGAAAGAAGGTGGAGGAAAAAACCCATCCGACCTATGGAGAAAGAAAGACAAGAGTTCGAGTGGACGCTGTTAGAAACCACGCAAGCAAAGAACGGAGTGAGATATTTAAAATGTTGAAAGAAAAACCCCAGCGACCTAGAATTCCGTAGCAGGCAAAATTATCGTTGAAAAGAGAGGAGAAATAAAACGTTCTCAGTTCTTCAAACATGCGTCTCGTCCACAGTTTGCTTATTAAGTGGCTGAACGAGGAAGCGGTAGATCCCAAACCATCTTTTTCCCTCTGGAAATCAGTTCGTTCGAAAATCATCGTCAGAATTGGGGAGGGCGGGGGAAAAAAACGGTCAACGTTAGAAATTGCGGCGTTTGAGCTCTTCATTTTGAACCCGGAGACGCTGACGGGGAAAGATTGACTCCTTTGAGGTTGGACAGCGAATTATCAGCTGACTTCGCACCCGGACTAGCTGTCCCGATGACTTCCTGTTGTAACGTCGTCTCGTTGCCGGGTCGGAGCCTGTCTCAAGGCATTTTCCCGCAGGAGCGGGAAGGACCCGTTCACGGAGCCTGAAAACCCGAACGTTCCCGGGAAGGGCGCTCCGTCGCCAGAGCGCACGCGCGGGGTTCGGCCGCGCCCCCCGCCGGCCGCCAGGACTACGAGTCCCAGCGTGCTCCGCGGCGCGCGCTGCCCGCCGGGAAGCCTGCGCCGGAAGTGGAGCCCGGCGCCCCGCGACGCGGAGTCCGCTCGCTCGCTCGCCCGCCCGCCCTTGCGCGCCGCTGGGCTCCTGGTCCGCCGCCGCCGCCGCCGCCGCCGCCGCCATGCCCATGAAGGGCCGCTTCCCCGTCCGCCGCACCCTGCGGTACCTGAGCCAGGGGGACGTGGTGTTCAAGGACGCCGTGAAGGTCATGACGGTGAATTACAACTCGCGCGGGGAGCGGGGCGAGGGCGCCAGGTCAGTGGGAGGCCGCGAGCCCGCCGCGGCGGGGACGAGGGCGGCGCGGGGGAGGCAGCGAGTGGCGGGGGCGGCTCTGGCGGGACCGGCGGTTCTGTCACCTGTGCCCCGCCGGAGGGGCTGCGCGGGCGCGTCTCTCCGCCCGGAGCGGAGCGGGCACTGGGGACCGGCAGGGGCCGGCGAAGCGTTGGAACTGAGCGCCCAGGCGGCAGCCCCGCGCGGGCTGTGGGCTCTGCGGGTGTCAAGCGTAGATTCGGCAGGTGTTAACTGTAGATGCAGGTGTTAACTGTAGATGCAGGTGCTAACTGTAGATGCAGGTGCTAACTGTAGATTCGCAGAGTCCCCACTGAGTGCTCGGCGGCTGCCGTGCCCCGCCGTTCACCGGTGGCCGAGCAGCCAGCCGCAGCCTGCACACACTCTGGGATCGGGTGTGTGGACGGATCAGAACGAGGCGGCGGGGGCGGCGGGCAACCCCTTGTTGCCTGGTCGCCAGCCTGAGGGGCTCGGCCGTTCAGCAGAGCCAGGAGCCACCCGCTGGCCATTTGCTGCGCACGGGTCAACCCGGGAACTTGAACCTGTTGCACGGGATCAGCCGGCCCGAGGGCTTCCTGGGAAACTTGGTCTTGGGGTGACAGCCAGCTGACTTTGGCAACCCGCCGCGCAACTGTGCGCCTCTCTGCGGCCGGGCAGAGGCCGGGCAGGTCGTGGCAAGGAGGGAGCTGGGCTGTCTGTGACGGCCCTTCGCTGCCTGACAGTGTGCATTTTGGGAGACTTCCTGATTGAAAATTCGGTTTTCAGTAGCTGGTTTTTAAATGATCAGCCAATCGCTGTAGGCCTGCCAGCCTCATACTCGCATTGCCCAGGTACCTGCACCCATTCAGAGTGCAGTGGCGTCATCATAGCTCACGGCAACCTCAACCTCCTGAGCTCGAGCGATCCTCCTGCCTCGGCCTCCCAAGTAGCTGAGACTACAGGCGTGCACCACCACACCCAGCTGATTTTTCTTATTTTTTGTAGAGACGGGGTCTTGCTATGTTGCCCAGGCTGGTCTTGAACTCTTGGCTTTAAGAGATCCTCCCACCTCAGCCTCCCGAGTAGCTGGGACCACAGGCACACGCCATCATGAGTAGCTATTTTTACATTTTTTTTTTTCTTAGAGATGGGGTCTCACTATATTGCCCAGGCTGGTCTCGAACTCCTGCCCTCAAGCGATCCTCCCCCTTTGGCCTCCCAGAGTGCTAGGACTAAACATGTGCGCCACCCCACTGGCCTGTAGCTTATCAAAATAAACAGTCCTCTCTGGACGAGCATCTGAGTCGATTCCGCGCCTCCGCTGTTACAAACAACAGCGCGGTAAACCTCACGTGTCTTTACACTCGAGTGTGAAAATACCCAAAAGCGGAAGTGAAATTGTTGAGTCAAGATTTGTGCTTGTGAAATTGCACTAGGTTAAGCCAATCTGTGTTCTTAAAGAAGTGTTTGCTCACTCCCATAACTTAAAATCTTTAATAATCTGAGAGGTAGGAAAGAATCATTTAAATTTACACGACTCCATCGGGAAGGAGTTGAGAACCTCTTCACACGCGGC